CATTTTAAATTCTGACATCTAATGATGATTCAGAAAAATTTTGATCATTGTAGATTTTAAATGGTGACACTCCCAGCCATTACGTCGACGCCCAGGATCCATCCAGATCGAACTGGATGCGTTATATCAACTGCGCACGTACGCCAAGCGAGCAAAACATGGAAGCTTTCGTTTATTTTGGCCAGATATATTACGAAGCCATCAAGCCATTAAATGTGGGGGACGAACTACTGGTATACTATGGGGACGAATACGCATCGTCGTTGGGCATAAACGTAACGCAATGGGACGGACTATTTAATGAACAGCAGTGGTACTGGCCTTAATAACCATATATTTAATGCACTTGGAACATCTAGCACGCCGGAAAATAAAATTTCAATTTTTGAAACATAATTAGGCTTATCGTTCTAGGCTTATGACTTTCACTTCTTTTCTTTAGCTGACCAGGAAATCTAAATGGTAATCCGAATAATCGATAAGTATTGAAGAAGCCGTGACCACGATAATCAGTTAAGCATCGACTAGTGATTTGGGGGATCGAGTAGTGATTTGGGGGATTAAAAAAAAAAAAAAACAAAAACATACAGTAATTGATGGAATGTTTTATTTGCCAAGGAATTAAATTTCTCTTCAGTGATTAAACAGTTCAATAAATCAGAAAATACCCTTCACGCCAGAAAAATGTTTAAATAGCTGCTGGCGCAGACTTTTCTCACTTCAGAATCAATAACCTTATCTGATTGTGTGAAACTTGCTGTTAATAATCATTTTAAAATGTGTATAATTTCGACTATTGCTATTCTAATTATGATATCGAAGTATGAAAAAATTTAATGTATCATCTAAACAATTATAAAATGTATAAAAATAGAAAGTATGACAGAGCCAGGAAGTCTACAGGCTGCACATGCACATACATAAAAATCGGTTCCTATACTTTAAAAAAAATACACAGGTGAAAAAAAAACATAATAACTGCTCAGTTAAAGAATGTTTCCTACAAAATATCAAATATATGTTAAAATTTACTTTACTTTTGACTGGTACACACCTTGTGGACAAGTGATAGATCTGGCATTTTATTCATTCTTTTTCTATTTCCCTTTTATTTTTTGAAAACGTGTTCATGTTTTGATTAACCTACCCTGGTAGTTGTTTTAAACTAAGATAAATGTGGAATTAAAGTTAATTTTTATAATGCATATTGCATTTTAAAACAGAAGTCACAACATTGCACATGACACCAGTGACTACCCAACATCAATTCATCCAGAGAAGGTGGAGTTGTCACCCCTGTAAAAAATGCTAGGACAAGTAGAGTATTGGAGTTATTTTGAATTTCTCCAAGCATGCTGATACTTATAGTTAAGAAAAAAAGGGATTTGTATCACAGTTAGAAAAAATTTTGGAAATGTTCTGTTACGTTGAAAACATCATACATCTCTTTGGACCCAACAGGCCTTTTAAAGCAAGATGATTTCATTTCGTTTACTGAAGAGCTCGCTCTGCAGCATTCTTTTGTTTACTCGAGAACAAGCTCTTCAGTAAACAAAAGAAGTCAACATCTAGTCATCTATGCTAGCTGCAAAAGGCCTATTCAGATATACTGGCCATAAGTTCCTTGGCTTGTATAATACAGGTGACTTTCACAGGTGGATTAAGACCGTCTTCTGGGTCTTCCGGAAACTGGTCAGATTTTCAAGTTTACATTGACGGTATCTAATTTTTTCTGTCTGAAGACGGTCAATAAAGATAATTTGGAAGCCTGTCAGAAAATATCTCTGGATCTGCCCCCGACTTTCTCCCATACAACATCATGATACAAACTAGTATTATAACAGAGCCTGGGTACCAGACAGGCACAAATTCCCAGTGAGACAATAACAGCCCTTACAATGAAAATTAAAGTATTAGTAGCTTTGGGTACTATCGCCAATCAAAAATAACTACATAATCACATATGCTTATACATTATTCACAGCTTTAAAATTTTTTAAAGATATGAAATATATGGCAGCGTACCCAGTCTACATAAGGAGTGAGCTGTGTACTGTATCTAAAATAACTGCAAGAGAATTCACTGCATTCAGCCTCATTATATATGTGACAGAGTACTCTGTGGATCCAGCCTAAATGTGTGACAGAGCACCTTATTATTGAGCCAGTAAAAATATATAACAGAAAATCCATCTAGTCTAAATATATAAACAGCCTCCCCTGTGGATCTTGTCTAAATATATGACAGATTACCCCGAGGATCTTGGCTAAATATCATATCATGCCATACAGTACCCTGTGGAAGCTGTCAAAACATGTGGTATGTGTATGTTGATCTAGGCTCCTGTCTTCAGTTTGGTTATTTACAACTTCTTTCCTCTCATAGACATCATCCAGAGAGGTACCTTGATGGCTCCAGGAGTGACGGCAGAAAGCCAGGAGTTCCCGTTCAGAAACATCAGGTCTTTAATGGACCGCATGTTTAACGGTTTTTTACCTGTAAAAGACATTGCTTTATTTTATTAAAAAAAACATAAAATATTTTCACATTCATCCAATGGTAGGTAAAAATTGTAGAGATCAAGGAAAAATATAAATTAGAAATTCACAATTCAAAGTAAAAACAAGTTCAATGTAGCATGTTCCTATCCTTGTTCAAAGGATAAATAAACATGAAACATAGCTCAACCCATCCCTACACTTGGATTGGATCTTATATTCCATTTTTAATTGGCTGAGAGGGTAATAGAGACTTTAGGGAAATGGAAAAAATATATATTATGAATAAGAATCTATGCAGGATAAAAATGTGATTATTTGGCATTTTCCAACATGTGCAAATTACCTTTAAAGATAAAGATGTAAAAAATAAAATATTAAGAAAAAATCCTTACCATTTATATCAGTCAAGTCATATTCCTGTCCCAGATCTGCTGTCATCAAAACTTTTCCACTTTTCTTCATCACATTGGGATCTGAAATATCAATACAAAAATGAATCACTAGTCCACATCATCTAAAGCATTCTTCCTCTTTCTTTCTTCTTTTTTTTCTTTCCCTCTCACATCCTCCCTCATTTTGTACCTCGACTTTGTGAACATTTACATCA